GGAGACCAAGCCTTTGTGCATGTGTTCATATCTACGTAGAAGCAAAAACAAGCGTTAACAAGCGTTAGGAGGAGTTGTGTAGGAGTTTTTCTGTGGGCATACCTGGGAAGAGCCGAATGCTTGGATCAGTGGTCTTGTGCTCGCTTTCAAGGGACCGAAAATTTGGATCCCTTATTTTCGTATATGCGGCCTCTCTCGTGCACATCTGTGCAAATGTCACCTGATGATTTAATGTTGGAGGATGGGGTCAAAGATAAGGAATAAGCTGGCACCCCTCCATCTAGTTTACAATAGCTTCTGCTACTGCTTGATAAAGATAAAAATTTATTGTCAATAATGGAGCAATCTCCATCTACTTCAATATTGACAACTGTTCAGCTTGCTATGAAGGCATTGATTGTCAAGGATCTCCTAGGGCACCCAGACATGGATGGAAGATTTCCGTTGCATCTTGTCTTAGTAAAATAATAAGAATAATAGCACCAGATGCTCCATATGATGATAATATAATGAACGAGATATTTGGACTGATTGTTGGAGCTTTCAAGAATTTGGATGGGATGTTAAGCCATTCATTTTCGAAGAGAGTTTCAATACTTGAAAAAATTGCAAAGATCCGATCATTTGTTTTGATGTTAGACCTTTATTGTGATGATTTGATATTGAAAATGTTTCAGCATTTCCTGAAGATAATAAGGTCAAAGCATTATGATATTGTCTTCTCCTCAATGGAGGCTATCATGACACTTGTTTTGGAGGAGACAAAGTATTTCTGCATAGTTTCTTTCATATTTGTTGGATGGTGTGAAAATTGTAGAAATAAATATTCTACACGTAGCCAAGAAGCTAACTGAGAAAGTGATTGTTAATTGTTCCTTGAAGCTAAGACCTTTTTGGCTAAATTATTTAATGGCAATGGTTCTCTGTAAAGTGACTATAGCAAAATTGTTTCTACTGTATTTTAGAGGAAACCTCACACTTCGATATAAAATGAAATAAATGCTTCGGGTGAAAATCAAGAAGCTGACCATAAATTATCAAAGCAGATCATTTCTAACGATTTGGTTTAGAGATCTGCACAATAGGAAAGTGAAATTTTTCATTCTACAAAATATGTTGTTACTTCAGAAGGATCTTCCAAACTGGTAATGAGTAATGGATCTTTTCAGAATGGGAATGGTGATTCTATGGATGCAAAGCAAAAGGCTGAATTTCGCCATCATAGTGGTAAATCTAGAGTTAATACTGAACATATCTTGGATTCAGGTAGAGCAAAGCTGGATAGAACGTCAGATCTAAGTTCTCGCAAAAGAGGAAGAAATGCTTCATTGCATTTGTCAATTAGCATTGATCATTATGGAGTTGGTAATAAGAGAAAAGCTTGAAGTAAATCTAAAAAAAGCTTCCAAGTAATGGAGGTAGAAATGGATCTAAAAAAATGTTAGAGTGAGATACTCGAAAAACAACCAAACTGTTGGCACTAAGAAGTAGAAAGGAGTTAAGCATGCTCAGGTTGAAGACAAAGAATTGAAATTAAAGGAGTTCTCTGCCCTCAAAAATCTACAATGAAAGATTTGATTAAAGATCATAACCATGTTAAAGATGGAAGCATGCTTAAGGCATACAAGAGGCTTCTAGACCACGGAAGTATAGAGAAGGCTTGGATTACACAATTGTTGGTTCAAAATAAAAATTTAGTCGCAAGATAATCAGAGATTTTATGATTCAACATAAAAATTTAGTGGCAAGATAATCAGAGATTTTATTATGGCATTATTGATTCTTTTTCAAAGTATGAGATTGCATAAAATTTTGTATGATGGCGATGTAGAGGTGCTACTACTAAAGAAAGAGTAGTAAGAGTTTATTGAAGGTGAAACCAAGATGCATGGGGTGCAGAAAGAGGATGAAACTGATGTTGCAAATATTCTTACAAAGGGACTTGATAACTCTACATTTCTAAGATTGATTACCAAGCTAGGAATCTAGATTCTGCAACTTGATGGGGAGTGTTAAAGCCCAGCCATCCCTTGGCCCTTGATCCCATGGCTAGCATGGAGATCCATGGGAGGCACACCAAGATCATGATGTTAAGTCTCAGCCATCCCTTGGCCCTTGATCCCACGACCAGAATGGGGATCCGTGGGAGGCTCACATAGACCACGCTGATCTCCTTCCATATTCAGATGGCTGATTTAGGAAGGATTATATTAAGGAAATTATACATGATTTTGTACTTATTTGTTTCTTAATTAAGACATCTTTTATACATCTATAAATATGGATAATTTTGAATAATGAAATTAAGCATTTTCCCTCTCCAATTCTATGAATTTAACACTCTACATGCTCCTGGCTAAAATAACTAAACCTAAACCCTAATATTGTAACTCTCAATTTTGGATTTTATCTAAACATTAAATAATCCCACTTCCATCTAACAAAAATAAGCCATTCCTTGCACATCCTAAACCCTAATCCCCCTATCAAAAGCTGTCAGTCAATCTCATACCTAGCCAAACCAGAGCCCATCTTACTTAAACTTCCACAAAATAACTCAACCATCAAATAACTCTCAGCCAACAATAAAAATCCCACATAAGCTAACCTTTTATAAACTAGACAACCACTCCAAAACTATCACACCAACCTTCCAATATTACTTCAAGAAAGAGATACTTCCATTCCACTCAAAAGCTCATCAAAATTTTCTTACAATTTAAAGCTTTAAGATGCTAAAGCATCCCAGGAACAACAACCAAGGTTGACTCAACAATCTCTAAAGAAGGAAGCAATCAAGAAAATTCCACATCTAAATCAAGCATCAAGCTATGGTGACCTCCATTATTATTTCTTGTTAATAATAGTGCATAAGACCTCCAATTTTTCAATGCCTTAATTACTTTTTGTAAAGATCATCATTACACCCCTTGATAAACTTAAATATAACCTCAACGGAGAAAGTCATATCATTGATAATTATGATCATAACTCTGACAAACTACACAAATTGATTTCAAATTTGAGAGATTATTGGATCAATTATTAGACTTCATGCTTCAGACCTTTCCCATATCTGATACCATTAAAAAAATCCTATTAAACCATTTGCAAAGGCTTCTCAACCAAATCTACAATAATTCACTTTGAAGCCTACTCCCATGCTTATTAAACCAGCCCTCATTCCATAACCCAAATGCCATTATGTGTATCACCCATGCTACAAATATTAATTATGGTCTTAAAACTATTATGAACCCTCCAACTATAGTAAACCATTTCCTATATTTTCAAACTAACCCCATTATAAGAACCCGGATTAAATCAATGCTGGATAAGCCTCCTTTAATAAAACCTTGTTTGATCACTATTAATTCAAGCAAGTTAGTAAGACCTATAAAGAATACGTTGATTTTAGCTCTGCAAAGAAGATTTCTAGGACTTGCAATAGATTCAATGAAGCAAAAGAGTCCAATTTCAAGCATAAATATGATCAAGTATGGGGACACTATTGAGATTTAGATTTCTACTCTCTAAATGAATGAATGATTACCAACATGACATGACGAGCTTTCATCAATCAAGGCTTCAAAAACACAAGATAATCAAATCATCCATCAATCAAGAATTCAAGGATGTGATGATCAAGATAATTCAACGCATCGTTCCATCATTGGATTGGATGAGACTTTTTCGAAGCTCAATTTTCAAATAGAAGTTTGAATGATCCTCCCTCCTTCATCAAGGTTTTTTCAGCATTCCAAGGCTCCTTCATCAACCAAGGCAATAAAATTGTATTTACGTCCCTACTACTGATGTAGGATGATTTGGACTTTAATGTGCATGTATATTTGACTTATTAAAGCATTTAGGAAGCTTATTCTTTATTTTCAAATTGCAATTCACCATCTATGCTGTATTGCTGGATGGCTTGGTGGTATTTTCATATTTAGATTCCTTGGGTAGGAAATTGTTATTTATCTACCCTATCAAATCCCAAACCTAATCATCATCTAACCTCTATTCGCAACCTCTAACAACCATAGAACCTCCAAAAGCTCTAGGCCACAACATCTAAGCCTAAAGCCCAATAGTATAGCTCTTGGCTTAGGCCATAGTATAGCTTTTGGCTTAGGCCTTCACTCTGAACCGTAAAGCATCCCACTTCCATATAATAACTCTCATCTTCCCTAACCCATCATAAACCCTAATCTCACTAATACAAGCTCTCCACCTACCACATAATCACTCAAACCTAAGCCCTTATCCTATTAAAATCCCAAAATAACCTAATCTATCGGCCACAAAACTCTCCCAATCTACCTCTCAGCCACTAGTAGGCCCCACTTAACCTAGCCTCCTATACTCCACAGTCCACAACCTCTCCAAAACTATCACACCAACCTATTAATATTATTATAAGAAAGAAAGACTTCTATTCTACTCAGAAACCCATCAAATTTTTCTTCCAAATAGCCCCCGACTCACATATAAAAACATTGTTCTATTCAACTCAAGCCATGAAACCCATGTCGCATTCACGTCTTCCATATATTTAGATTAAATCTTGAGTCTTAATATGGCAAGCTTAATGACCTAAACCAAGTTCACATAACTTGCAGAAACCTGAAACAGGACAAATTAAATGAGTTCAAACCATAATAAAAATCCCTTAAAACAAAGAAATGACAATAACGGATTGCTCTCCTCTACTTAACTGTTTTGATTCCATACCGTAACAATATAAACCCTAATAGTTCACTTAACCTCTTCAGGTTTCTCTTGCAATGTGATATACCAACAAAAACGGTGGAGAGACGCCCCATCTTATACACTAATGAAATTTTCAAGCTAAAAGAAACTTCTTTTTAAAACAAATGAAAGAGCAGCGATGTCGTTTCAGTCAAAATTTCACCAATTTTTATTGATTCTGAAAGCAACAAAAACCTTATGAAACAAAATGCATGCTTTGAAGAAATCAACTAGAGGAAGAGTATAACCTGGAAGAGAGCTCTGGTTAAAAGAGGGTTTTCTATTAGAATCTGCCTTGCTTGTTTCTGGTTCTGATCAATCAAAACCTGAAAAAGGATAATTTAGGCCTCAAATCCGTCAAGCACAGGACATATTTTATGCAAGAAAGCTATGTAGATTAGGGTTACCTTCAACTGGGACATGATGTCATAGAGCTGGCTCTTGGACATTCCGGCAATGTGAGAAGTAAACCGGTCCCCGGAAAACTGTTGCTGCTGCTGCTGCTGCCTCGCTGCCATGACGTCCAATTTCTCTCGCTCCTGCACTGGCGACGGAACTGCCTAGTTGATAGATTGACTTCGTCTGCAAAACGCGGTTCCGATCAGTTCCGCAGGCGATCAATCGCTTCGTAGACCCAATAAGGTGAAGGCTGCGATTAGGGAGTTGATATGTTCGTTCACTTTTCAAATCGTGTGGAAGACCAAACAGGATTTTGAAGTCAGAGCTCTCGTTTCATTTAGGGCATCTCCAATGGAGAATTCTAAAATTTATGATAAAATAATACAGAACTTCAAAATGGCGTGATGCTGCTCCAATCGAACGTCATTTTAGATGTTTTTTAGAAGTTAACGATCTTCTCCCTTTCGCGCGTTTTACCGGTTGAGAGAGTAAAATGGCGTGGGTGAACAGTGCGACGCCAATATCGCACTGTTCACCTGCAAGTAAATGACGGAAATTTTTGCATTCGGTTGGAGAGACGGACGGACGGCATACGTTCGTTTGACGTTCGGTTGGAGATGACCTTACGACGCTCTTTCTCTTCAAGAAGGAACAGTCCGAAATCACTTTCTTCATCTTGTTTAGCTATTTAGGGTTTAGTATGAAGGACAAATTATATTTATTATTTTTGTGGATATTATACAAATTTAAATCATCTGTATCTTATTTATCTCTCTATTATTTACATATCAGCACTTTGAAGATATGAACCACCAAGATACATTTACTATTTTGGATTCCTCTGTAACTTAGGTAAAAAACTAAAGGAAGTTACTCAAAACTTGAATAAATGTGGATTTCAATTCACGTACTTTGACTCATTTCAATCTTGTTGGAGATGGATGGAAGAGTATCCTAGCAAACAAGGATTCATGGTTAATGTTTATTGCAATGCAGTTTATGTAACTTGGAATTCCATAAACAAATTCATTCATGGAGAATATGAAGATAGTTCTATGCTATTAGCTTCACATACTGTAAGTATGGCTTCTATCTCTTTTATTGCTGATGGAAAATTGGGAAACTAGGGTATGAATCGGTCATCTAGACTGTTAAACACTTGGTACCCTCCTCCTCCCAATTGGGTAAAAATTAATGTTGATACTTCATTATTAAAAAATTACAAAGCTGGAATTGGTGGTGTTGTCCAAGACAATAAAGGCAGATCGGTTTTGGCTTATGGCCAATCTTCTATACATTGGGACATTGCTTCTCTAGAGCTTTTTTTGAACCAATTCATAAGAGAAATCAAGAAAGATTGGTTGCAAGACTATCAAGGAATTATCATAGAAGGAGATAACTACAATGTTATCAAATATTTGCAAGGCTTGGAAGGTAAGTGGAAAGATGATCTTTTATTGCTAAAAGATCATAAGTTTATTTTTTTAATTGGGTAAATAGAGAATGTAATAAGTTAGTTAATCTTTGTACTAACTATGTCATTTGCAATAATTTCTGTTGGGAGGATTTTTCCTCTAGTAAAATTCCTTGTTCTCAAAATCGTTAAGGGAGGAATCTTTAGTTTCTTCTTCTTTGTAATTTGTTTGCTTTTGTTAATATGAGTTAGCCTTGTGCTTCTTCCAAACAAAAATGAGGTAAAAAATCCTTTCCGAATGATATTCCAACATCAAAATAATGGGTTATTACACTTCTCTGCAGAAGTTGATTCAAAGCTACTGATGCTCCTTTAGGAAGTTTCTTCTTAGCCGCCTTGTACATAGTGTGTAATATACAGTGTATAATGTGTGAAAATGTACAATGTGTGGACTTGTATATTGTAGAACTTATACAATTTTTGTATATAACTTATACACAGTGTATGTACAAAGGGAGATGTGAAGAAGAATCTTCTTGTAGGAAAAAAGCATTATAGCAAGAAGTGTCTAGCTCAATTATGTTTGAATATCAATTGGTTTGGACGAAATACAAAAATTTTATGGAGATGAAGAAAGCCAACAATAGTTCCAAGATTGAAACCAAGTTTGGGACATAGGTACACCCAGTTAATTGACATAAACCTTATACACACAAATAACAAGATTGTACACACATTGTGTAAACCGTGTACACAGTGTGTGTACAAGGGGAATTCACCATTCACACAGTGTGTGTACAAGTTGAATTCCTGACTTTTTTTTATTTTCCTTGCACACACACTATGCATAATATAAAAGTGTGTGTACAAGTGAAATTCCCAACCCTTTGTGATTCTCCTTGTATGCACACTATGCACAACCTTGTAACACTATGCACAAACTTGTATACACACTTTGTACATTATGTACATAGTGTGTGTATAAGAGAAATTCCTAACCCTTTGTGATTCCCTTTATACACACACTGTGTAAAAGTTATGCACACATCGTGTACAAGTTATACACACACTATGTACATGGTGTACACCGTGTGTGTACAAGTGGAACTCTTGACCCTTTATGATTCCCCTTGTACACACATTGTGTATAAGTTGTTTATAATTCATTTTAATACACATGTTTACCCTTTCTCTCATTGTAGATCTGCATATTAAATTTCATTGCAAAGCCTCAATATTTAGAGCTATATGCGACTTTGTGGTCAGGATATTATATGATGAAGTCGATGAAGCTTTAAATAATTTAAACATATTTCAATTTACTGCATTTCAGTAGAATACACCCTTGATATACATGATATTGTTATGGGATGTAATTAGACAAGCCTTCATGAACAAGGGGCATAAGCTAAAATTTATTGCATATGAAGTTGCTTTAATCACCAGTTTGCCAGAAAGGGGTAAATTGATATGCTGGGAAGCTGAGCCACTTAGGAGATATACTGGAATTGACATTGAAAATGCGATGACGAACATTGACAGATCAAGCCCCCTGTCATTATTGTAAATATATACATAAAGTTCCTATTGTCAAATTTATTTTTTCCCATAAATAACTACAAAATTCCAAAGAGGCTCATTAGTATTTTCCATAATATAGATGAGTTCAATTGGACAACAACCATTAAAGATTTCTTTGTTCATCAATTTAATCTTATGGACATAAAGTTTGCTAGTGATATCATTCTCAGTTATTTTAATGGATTTGTTCCTTTGTTAATGGTGAGTGCACATAACATCTTTGTCTCTCTAATTATTATTGCCTTTAATAATATTATGTCTTCATCATATGCAGATTTAGTTTTTGAATCACACATCCATTGTTCCCCTTATAATGGCTAACTCAAGACCTCGTTTCCTATGTTGGGACAGGAACTTTGTTTTCTACCAAGATCTCTGACTTATTTAGGGATCTCAGGGATATTCAGGTATGCATGATTCCCCACATATAATAGGATATGTACTTTAATTTGTTCAACTAACAATGGACTCACTTATGTGCAAATTTTTTATTCATTCTAATGTGTTATTGAAAAGGAAACAACAATGCAACATAAGGTGTTGCCAACCCCATAGACCCTTCCAACACAATAATCTTCTCAACCCAACATACTGCTTCCCCTTGTGAGACCCATCTCCCAAGCCCCATTTGTCTTCCTTTGTGAGACTCATCTCCCTCACTGTCCTCAATAAGCCCCATCTATCTCCCCTTGTGAGACCCATCTCCCTTGCTCTCCTGACACTAACAACTTTTAGAAAGAACTCATTGAAATATGTGCTTTTGTTGATATTCTTTTAAGTGTGATAGATTTCATTGGCATGCAGTTTAGGCGGATTAAAATGAAATGTGCACGTATTGAAAGTAAATTTGCACATTTTTAGGGAAGTTTTTGGAACATGTTACGAATAAAATTCAACATCCGATAAAATCTTCCACAAAGAGCGATGCAACCCCTGTTGTCCATGAGGAGATGGAAATTATTGAGCAGATATTAGTCGACAACAACAAGGTTAAACTACCAACTGAGGCAGATGCTTAAAGTTGGAGAAGCTAGCAGCTGATGTAGCTCCACTTATTGATGAGGAGATAGGAATTGTTGAATATATATTAGTCGATAGAAGTAAGGTTGAACTACTAGTTGAGGTAGCTACTCCACAGGTATTACTTTTAATGTTCATGAATTTTGCATTTTCTTACATTGCATTGTCTTACACACACACCAAATTATTCTTAAGTTCAACTAGTATTATAACTAGTATTGTGGAGAAAAGGACCAACCGATCCATGAAGACAATTAAAATACCATACACAACAAGTGACTAGAGGAAAAAAAGGAAGGTATATCTGGAAGAGGAATCGGATATTGAAGAGGGAGAGACAACTACACAAGAGGTAGAAAAGCTAGTAGTTAATGAAGCCATCAATGTTGACTTATTACCTGACGTTATTATCCCTGCAAGCACAAGTAAGTTTATTTTGCAAAACACTCTAACAAGTAAGTTTCAAATAGAATTTTCCTTGTATACACATTGTGTACATTGTTAATTCTCCATTAGGGCCAAGATTTCTGCTTTCCCACAAATTTCTAGGAATTCACCCTTGTACATACAGTGTATATGTCTGTATAAGATTGCGCATAATGTGTACAAGGGATCCACAAATGACCAGGAATTCTCCTGATACATGCACTATATATAAGGTGTACACAATGTGTTTATATCTTGTATACGTGTGTATATAACTTATACATAATGTGTGTATTAGCCTGTGTATAATGTGTGTATAAGAGAATACACAAAGGATAAAAAATTCCCTCTGTACATACATTGTGTACATGATGAATTCCCCTTATGTACACACTGTGTACAAGATGTATGTAATGTGTATACAAGCTTGTGCACAGTATGTCAAAGAGATCCACAAATGGTCAAGAATTCCCCTTATACACAAATGACCAGGAATTCGTAGAGTTGTATAAGTTGTACATCAATTGTTTAAACCCTAATAATATTGGTTGCAGACAAAGATTATATATACACTACTAGGAACATCACATTTTTTAGAGGAGAAATTGTTGAACTCATAAAATACCAATATCTAAGTGTCGCACATGTAGATGCTTTTGCCACCATGTTAGCTTAAAGAATAGGCTATTGCCTGGACTGTACCAACCCTTCCTATATATATCCTCTTTATATTATATAAGCTTTCACGTATTAAATGATTTTTATATTATTTTTCTTTTTCTCAATATTCACCCAAGTTATTTGAATTATGTCAGAACTATGCAAAAAGCTTATTACAAGGCCATAAGAAATATGTATATTGAGCATGTTAACTAACTTTCAA